ACTGGTCAATACCGTGTACGTCGGTTTGTTTCTCATTTTCTATGCATGGATGCGAGTCAATATATAAGTTTAGACTATATATACTTACGGCAGTCTATTTCAGTATCCTAGTCTCCCGTCAGGATGCCCGTCATATCTCAAACACTGTCGGGCTGGATGTTCAAATCCACCGTGTAACCTCTGTTTTTAATCTTCTTACTAGTCTGGACTAGGTCAACAGACAACACGGACTAGACATGACTGGGCTCAAGGACATTTCAGACTAGTACAGACGTGTTTGTAAGACACTCCTCATTAAGCTGACTAGACAAGACGGGTATGCAAGACATTTCAGACTAGACTAGACGGATCCTGCGGACATTTCTGACTAGTCATGTCGGCAGTCTTCCTTCATTTTTTGCTTACTTGGGAATTTAATTTGCTTTGTAATAATTCATTACAATATATACATTGCTTCATAAAAATTCACAGTTATTCATAAAATCATTCTTTTGAGATAATAGACATTCATTCAGAATAATATATATTCCTTCGAAATAATTCGCTTTGCTTTATAAAATTTCATAATAATACACATTCTTTCATAAAAATTTGAAATAATACATATTCCGTCGTAATAATTCTTCTTAAATAATAGGCATTGCTCAATAGCAATTCATAATAGCCACATTCTTGCATAAGAAGCGATAAAAAATTTCATCTTTTCCTCGAAACATCATAAATGACACGTCTTCGCAATAATTCAAATAAATTTGTAGGATAGTAAATTACATAGAAAGGTTAAATTTTCGTTTCCGATTTATCTTTGAGCTAAAAAAAGGTGCCGGTGAGAGCCTGAGGGTACAAAGTCCGAATAATGCGTCCGAAATCCGATTATACTGTTACGTTATGCAGTAAATTAAAAGCTATTCTAGATCACGAAGAATTTCAATTGTTTTAGTAAATGGTAAAGACTTTTCAACATAATGTTTTTGGGCGTGTCAGTGGCATGGAGTTAGCGGTGAATTCTGAGTTGATGGTCGGTGATTGAGCATTATAAGTGCCTGACGAACTTGCCATATTATATTAGATTCCAATCCGCCTTAGTATTGAACACAAAAATAACACGCACTGGACAACACAGTTGTTTAACAGTAGCAATAAAGAATTTTGGGAACAATTATGTGATGATAATCGTATCTCAAATTTGAGACGCGCATTAAACGGTATAATCGCGGTTTCTGGTTCGGTTCACGTTGCTTATGCTGTATTTTTAGCCTTTGTTCTTCGCTTCCATTCTCTGACGTTTCTACGTAGCTCTGCTCTTACTTGTTGACTACATGTATAGAAGGTGAAAGCTGTAATAACTTCTCGACATTTTGAGAAATCTATTCTGCAGGTTTAACTGGCCTATTTTTAATTTCATGATGTATTCTAATTGAAGATCGTTCACTTCACCAATTTAAGGTACTGATTTATCACATACACTATCCATTTGACAATCCGATAATTTGTCAGGAACTTCTGATTGATGTCGAATAATTGTTTGTTGAGCTGTTATGAGGGCACCTGGAAAGGCTCTGCATGTGAAAAATTCTCGCGGTACTTCAATCTCAACGAGCCACAATGGATTTGAGCTGCATTCTTCTTCTAATGCGGTTGTGACTTTCGATTGCAGATCGCCTGACGTTTCTCGCTCAATTTTGACAGGCTTCATAATGTTATGATTGCTCGTCGGTCTCCATTTCGTCTTTGAATCACAGATTGACCAAGTCGACTTCGACGTTCTTCAGAGTCTGTGCTCGAGGGCATACAAATATTTTTTTGTTATGAAGCGGAATCTTTTCATCCACCACTTTACCCAGACAGGTAAGACCAATTGTATGAGAACATTGGGTGACTATATAAGCGTGGTTCCACATACAGTCGAAACAAAAAGCATCTCATTGATAGAGTGATAGCGAATAATTTAATATTTGAAACATTTGTGAAATGTATAGATATTTAATTAGGAGATGATTCCAATGTCTTTTTGAATTCATAAGTAAATCGATCAGAATTCCTGTTGTTTCCTTCGTATTCTGGTGTGATCGCCAATTGTAACGGAAAAATATTTAGGTTGCGTAAATATTCTTCAAATAACTATCAAGATATATAGAATTGTGTATATATATCCTAATAGGATGACGGACAACAAAGTGTGGATCAGTATCACCTATGTATCTTAGTCACTGTGTGTATAATATTAACAAAAATTCCACAAAATCAGTTTATTCTTGTCCAAAATGAGCCCTGTGTGTTGTCTTTCAATACAGCCGAATAGAATCGTACGTATTACAAAGCACAACTTTCTTCTAACTTGACTTGTTTAGGACTGAACTCAACTGCCCTAATACTGCTCTCTATTTCACATAGAACGCGGGTTTATATACTAGAGCGAGAGAGAGAGAGAAACAGAGAGAGAAGAAGATACATAGAGACAAAAGTTATTGAGAGAGAAGAAGATACATAGAGACAAAAGTTATTGAGAGAGAAGGGGATACGGAGAAAGAAAAGATGCACAGGGGGGAAAAGATAGAGAGAGAGAAAAGGATACAGGGAAGGATTACGTATTGTTCAGTGGACGGTTATGTGTTGTCATATACAAGAATGCCCATTAGCAGTGTAAGTCCAATTACGTCATGGCTATATGTTTCATTAGTTCTATGACTCTAAGTGGACGTTCAGCGGTTTCTATAACCTCCTATTGAATCGAGACCTACATGAGGGACGTCAATGGCTTGTACACGGGCGTTCGTTATCTATTATGTCCCCTTCTTTATTTCATCTTACAGGAGTTACGTGTTTCATGGCACATATTAGAGTAGGACATGTTGGCCTGTGATGAGCATTTTTGAGAAAGAAGGGGAACGTATCATAACTCCCTGATTATTTTCCCACCGAGTGAGTAACAAATGAATGTGCTTATACTATTTCATGCTCTTCAATGCACAGGCATCGTGAATGACGAGAATATCTCTAGACCACAAACATGTTGAATCCATGAACTCATGTATATTTCCTACTGTTGTATTGGTTTTTTTCATGGCACATATTGTTATTATTATGATGATCATGATGAATATATTAATCATATTTGCCTTCAAACATTCAAAATAAGAAAAAAAACTATAGAAAAGAACATTCCCACACCGGCTACCATCACAATCAATAGTAGCAGTTTTGTTGGTGAAGTTCGTCATATAGAATCGTTTAGAAGCTGTTTTGAGGTGACAAGTTCATTGATAATGATAATGAGAGACGTTCGCCGCATCTGTTCTTTATAGAAGAAAATATAAATTTTGAATATTAAAAGTGTCCAATTCAACATCGAGCTTGGACACTATTTCAGTGAGAAAGGCCAGCGAAAGCTATGAGAACCGTCTTGAATAATGTTTGTAAAATAAACGATGCAAGTGGATATACACGAGAATTGTCATAGGGAAGGAAGAACGAATTAGTATATTTATCTTTGATGCATGGGAAGTTGCATGTAGTCTATTTTTTAAATAAAGGCCAATTCAATGAACTATTTTCCCATAGAAATACAATGGATGCAATAGCATGATAACGCAAATTATTTCATGCATTCTAATGTATTATTTATATCAATCTATTAAAATACATTATCAGGCAAGGACATATATTATTTCTTTGGATATTTTAATAATTTAATGCATTCTACCACCCTCACTGTATTCATATAATTATATCGTTGGGTCTATATCAAGTGAAAAATTTTCATCAAACAAAAATCGGAAAGGAACGCATTTGATAATTTCACGAATGTGTTCATCAATGAAAAGAACACGTTCAACATCTGAGGGAAGGTATTCTTTACGGTTCCATACTACTATGCAATGTTCTATTATCAGTTCAAAAGCGTTATTTAACATTCTTTGCCTGAGTGTCTAAGAATAGACTCTTGCTAGTAATCAACGCTTTCTTAATCGTTTAACATCATTCTTGGATAGAAAAGAAAACGTTTCCTATCNTATTAGAGCATGCGAGATTAATTTTATTTTAAAAAAATACATACAGTGGATCAAGAATAAGGAAACAAGCACTTTGTGGTTAAGCCTCACGCATGGATAACATAGTCGCTGATTTATGCCATCTTTTTTAGGTAGTGATAGTAGATGAATAGCATGCTATTAGTTTCTGATTCAAAAGAGCTAGTTTTAAAAGCGCAAAGATGTGACTTGTATAATTGATATGAGAGAGGAATTTTAAGATTCCTGGTAAGAATAAATTTTGAAAGCATCGCCTTTGATTAATTTGAGTATGGTCTCTCTTTTTAATATATTAGCATAAGTTGTTTTTGAATATTTATTTAAATAATTTTTTAGATAATATTTATATATTTTAATTTTAAGGGTAATAGATGAAAACTTAAATTTTTATCTTTTGGCAATTAAATATGAAGAGAAATTAAAGTTTATAATGAAAATTTAGATATTTTGATTCTAAAAAATTCGTTCAACTTCAATTTTATTTTCACTACACTAACTAGCAGAAAAGATAGTCTAATATCATGCACCCTAGACGTGTAAATATAGATACATCAACTCGAAGTAGGGCGAGGTAAAATCGGCTTATGAAATATAAAAACATAGAAGACTTCCATATATCTGCAAAAGTCTATAGAACACACGTTTTAGAGAATTGGTCGAGAAAGATTCCGTTTGATGTTGGAATTCATTATCCAAAATTCTTTTTCGGAACGGTTTCCAATTTCTCAAAAAGTTTTCTTTGACAGTGAAACGCCAATTGTCTATTCTTAGACATCCAGGCAAAGAATGCTAAATAAAGCTTTTGAACTGGGAAGAAAACATTGCATAACAATATGGAACGGTAAATAGTACGTTACTTTCAGATGTTGATCGTGTTCTTTTCATTAGTGAACACATTTGTGAACTTATAAAATGCATTCGTCATGAAAAAATAACTTTCCATACTCTGATGAATAGGCTTCTCTCCGTTTTTTTTCGATGTAAATTTTTCACTGGGTATGCTTTAGGTAAGAGACCTCTCTTCACTCACCTAAATCCTTCGTAGAAAGATACTTTATCAACTTGAAGCCTGGTAGAAATCTGAAAGATGATGAAGTTTGTCAGATTGTTATTTATGTAGGATTTGTGAAAAAAACCTCATTAAATAAATGTAAGAAAAGATGCAAAGTATGATATATAAAACAGCATACAGAAGATTATCATAAAATACGATTTCAGGATAATGTCTCAATTTGACACTTGAATTATATGTTTATTATTCAATAATGCTTTTACTCATTAACTACATCAATACGTACAGATTCGTTGATATCTCAAACCTGCTCTTTGACATTTCTTGCAGTTTGTTGAATCAATACGTTGATTCCCTAAGCACAAGTATTTCACTGTCATATTCTTGGTTTACGATTCACAAAATGCAAAACACCATTATGCTCGATTTTTAGGGATCGAAAATTTTTGTTCACTTATAGTGCACCTGTTATGGCTCCTTTATCTGTTAGGTTATTACTCGAATAGATTAGTGTCTTTATAAAAGTATTCAATTCCAACATTTCAGGCAGTTCGCTAATAAATTCATCACTAATAATTTCTACTATCTTGCATAGACGAAGTATTTCCAACGTTTTACTATACTTGTGATCTCGAATTAGAGCACCTTGATTAGAATTAATGGTTTGAAAATTCCCTAACTGGAGACTTTCAAGAGTTTGACGATTTTCAATTGAACAACAACATGCATTCGCACTCATATATTCAAAAATAAATCTATCACTTCATTTACAACAATATTCATCTGTGCCAGATTTATAGCCTTAATTTTTGACTGATTCCTAATGTGCATGCAAGATGTATACATCCATCATTGGAAATAGACCAATTATCGCTTAGATCCAACTCGACCAAATGATTGTTTTTGTTCAACATGTTAGAAATCATTTTGAACTTGACTATCGTCTAATACATATCCTGTGAATCTCAATATTGTCTAGTTTAACATTGCCAACGAGTACTTGACGTAACAGTATTCACAAGATTGAACGACTTTTTCAAGTTTATGTATTACTTTCAGATGGTTTCTCTTTACTAAGACAATACTTTTACATGTAGACACTATCAAACTTGATGTCTTGGATTTGTGTGTAATCGTTGACAATTGTAAGTAACTTATCAAACGAGTTTTTGCTTATGCGATATTTAGTAAATTTTAGTTTCAATAAGTTTAAACCACGACCAATGACATCAAATAATTCATCGACATGTTTTCGTTTTTCTTCACAATGGTCGCTGTATCGAGACGCACATTTTCAGCTCGAGCCATGAAATTCTTTACGAAAATTTTTAAATTTTTTATCACTATAGAGTTGGTGATAATGCTTCACACATAACCATCGAATATGATCATCAAATTATAACGTTCGATATAAATTACTTTAGGTGCAATGTTCAACAGATTTTTACCAAAAATTTTTCAATTTCTCTTAATTCGGCACCTTGCAAGCATTCATCGAAATAATTTTCTTTCATATTTCTCTAGATGATCTTTAGATTTTTCGCATAAACTCAGCAGCTCGCTTCACTTTGTATCCTTCAGAAATTGCCGAATAGCCTTCTTTTTATCGATTCACATTCACACAAGAAAACGAGTCGATAAGAATCCCGACATAAATTTATAGGATTAAGTTAATTTTATTCATAAGTTAAAGTGATGAAAATGAGTGGTGCATTACGTATGTTCGACTAATTCAAGTGTCTGTTGAAGAATGTTTTTTTTTACTTTTTGTAGGAGTAATTCAGTATTATTAAATATATTTGCTGTTCTCAAATCAACACGTTTTAGAATCGCAAACCAACTAGGATTATTACAATCAATAGTTCGATCGGAGAATCGTTGACAGTAAACATAGAGATAGGACCGTCAAATGATTTTTCAATATCACTCAAACAAACGAATCGGCCATCATTAATCTGTGTAAGTAGTACATGTGTTTCGACATTGTTCTGACGAAAGAGTCGATACGTCTCCAGTGACATTAATGTAAAACTAGGATCCTGCTAATCAAGATTATTTTATACAAAATTCAAGTTATAATTCAAACAAAGATTCATGCGAACTACGGTGGTGGCGTGTTTTTTATGCTGTGATCAAATGTATGATATTCTTTTACCGTGTTTTAACAACCATTTTTTGCCGACTTCTTCATGAAGAGTTTCATTGCATGAATAAAAAATATTCATTACAATATCCCAAATGAGTGCAGGACTCAAAATAATTAATTAGTTTATATCGATATTAGAAAAATGAGAGAAAGCTACAACATGTGAATGTCTTATAGCTTCTTGTAATAAACTAATTAGACAGTTTTATATGATATGTCGTAGTTACTTTGATGCTTCAATAATTTTTTAATTATATCTTTGATGCGCTCGTGGGAGTATTTTTAAATAAATCGTTAAAGCAACATTATAGTTTTTCGATGCAAATTCATGATCTTCTAGATAGTCGTCATAAATAGCAGCATTTTTTTGTATATATTTTAGTAATTTCTATATGATTATCGGCAAGAGATTTGAATTTTATTTTGATAAGATATCAATGCTTGATGTTGAGTATCTGTTAATAGATTCAAATATCCAATGAAATCATATGTTTTAGTCAATTTTGGATGATTATTAGGTAATAATTTTAACTCAGTATCTAAACAATTGTAGTTATATTCAAATGCTTGTTCAAAATTGTCTTGCACTCGTAACAGAACACTTAAATTTTCGTAATTTTTTCCTGTACATAGATGATCATATCGAAAAGTATCTAAATCTTTGGAGAAGAAAGTTTGAAAATGTGAAAATAATTGGCCAACGTCGAAGAAATTGCTCTTATTAAAAGTTTGATCACTTAACTTGTGCAAAAATATCAACTTTATAACTCTTCAAGTGTGAGTTAGTATTAGCAAAAAATTCAGTGGCTGTTTTCCAATGCGCTTTCGCTAAGTTACGCGGTCTCCTTTCATTTCAACAAGTATTGCTAATTTCTTAGAGATCAAATTATGATTTTGTCTATTTTCTACTAGGGGCGATATCAAATATCACTGATAATATTCTTCAGCTTTATCAGATAGTCCCATTTCCATTAAAATATCTGCAATGGAGATGCAATTTGTCTTTTCTGGAAATAACTCTTGTTTGAATTCTTGAAGTACTCCAAATAATTCATTACTTCGTTCATCACATAAAAGCTGTTAGCGCAATCCCTGTGGGATTAAAATGTGAAACACGATGAAACCTCTTTTCTGGAATTCGACTATCACGGTCACTGATGGTCTGTGGAGCTTCTCTGTTACAGTCTGTATTATGATGTATGAAGTATTTAGAAACCACCACAGACCGTTACAGAGACTTCAGAAACCATCACAGACCGTTACAGAGAAATTTAATTATTAATTAATTTCTCTGTAACGGTCTGTGGTGGTTTCTAGAGACTCCATACATCATAATACAGACCGTAGTAGAAAAGCTCCACAGACCACCAGTGACAGTAATAGACGAATTTCAGAAAAGAAGTTTCATCGTGTTTCACACTTTTAATCCCACAGGGATTGCGCTAACAGCTTTTTATTTAATATGCTTGCAGTTGCGTCAAGTTAAAGGAGCATTCGCTAGCGATGTGATTAATAGTTTAACAAAGTGAAATACAAAATCATTTTGTATTTAATACTACGTTTGACGCAAAAATGCTTTACTGAGTAGGTCCTCCATTTAACTATACCCTGTAAAAATAAAATAATAAAACTTACCATCACATATATCTAATTTCTTTTTATGTTCTTGTATAATCTGTAAAACAAAATTTTAATGACACTACCTTATACTCTTGAAATAATTCATTTCAATTTAGACCATAAGTCGTTCTTCCACTAATCATCAAAAGTCGCAGATCCGAATTCATTTACAAGCAGATCTGGAGAGATGAGCTTGATCATCTCACGTAATGTGAAAAATGAAGTACCAATCACTGCAAGTCGTAGACCAATATGTCAGACTCGTGGTTAAACAGCTTTACATCAATCATCACTAACTAAAAATTAGGTCACATCGGTGTACTTCAAAGTCAGTGTGAGAGATTTTGGCCGTCCTAAATATTTATCAGAGTGCTGATTGAAGCCTCAGGATTGAAGAGAAATGCATTGCGATAATCCAAGGCCATTTTTGAATTGCGAGAAAAAATTAAGCCAATGAACACATCAGTGGTCGCCATTTGGAATCGAGAAGTTAATTTTATGTGCAAAATTAAATAAGTATATTTATTCCTGTCGTTCAGAACTGACCGAACAATTTATACACAAGAAAGCACTTATAACACTAAATGGTTTTATTTATTTTTTCTTTTAGAGTTGCTTCAACGACTAATTAAACATAGGAAATGAGTTTTTGCTCAGGATAAGCTTTTAGAGACAGTTTGCAAGGGTTTGGGAAAATTTCACTTACGCTAAAAACGTTTCATTATACTTTGCACTAATAAAACCTTAAAGGATTTATTTTTTACATTTTGTTTTGCACTACATCCTAGCGAGGTACACCCAAGTTCTCAAGATCTAACCTATCGGCATACATCTATGTCTTGCAGGCCTATTCTCTGGAAGTACTCACAGCTCGTGAAGTTCTATTATAAGGGATAGTCATAAGTCTTGCAGACTTATTCTGGTGGAGTACCCATGAGTTATCAATGCATATCCTCCAAGCTACACAAGACTCGTCAAGAGCTTTTATGGGAGCGTATCCATAGTTTCTCATCTCGATCCTATGTGAATACGGATTAGGGATGCATCGATTCGAATTCTAGTTAATTGAAGTCTCAATTTCTGGTGTGGGGTTGACTGAATCAGGAATTTACCTGAAATATATTGATATTTTGAATGGCATTGAATGAAAAAGACTAGGATTTAGCCGGATTTTAGTGCCACTCGTGAAGAAATTTCTCGAACTGTGCTTGACTCTCGCTTATTGATGATTTTTCGAGCTGAGAATTCAACCGTTCAAGTCGGTTACATGTTTGCAGTATCAACGAATCAGGTGTTTTTAACATAGCTTCTCAAAAGAGATACTTTTTAAAAAAGACCCATAGCTACTGAATGAATTCATAGCTACTTGATTATTGTAAAGCTGCTTCCAAATTTACTATAATTATTCAAAGATCACGCATTTATTGAAAGTTCATGCACCTCTTCAAAATTTCTACATTAATTAAAAAAAGCATCTCAGCCATATTACAACCGAGAGACAAACCTTATTAATATGATTTCATATCTTTTTTCCAAAAAATCCTATTACGTATCTCTTCCTCTTTTATATCACTAATACCCCCAATATCATAAATATTTGAATATTGTAACGAACCAAATACAGATTCACATTATGAATACAAATTTTTTTACTTGAATTTTGCCTTAAAAACAATATAATGATATTCATTCAGTAGCTATATGATATTCATTCAGCAGCTATACGAAAGCACTAAGTAGTTATGCTTAAGGAAATGCAGTAGACTATTATAAAAAAAGTATCTCTTTTGAGAATGAGCCCAAATATTTGTCAATTCTATGGAAAAAGTAGACAGCATGCTGTTTGCTCACTAAAACAAATAGGCACTAGTGTCTTGTGGGTATGAGTCTACTCATCAATTAAATTCATAACCCCACATATCTCACTCCATCAGTCGTATTCTCAGATTTGCAACTTATTTAATTGTTTAATGATTTTATCCGTACCACATGCAAGATAGGACAACTATAAAAATTCCTGTCTCTAGCAAATCATCAGCTAAAAGTGACCAAATCAATCGCTACATACCGTTCAAACCCTAATGTTTCTTATGTGAGCTTTTATAATGACACTAACTGTTTTTCTAATTTTAAGCCCCATTCGTAAATACGCTTTATATCACTAGAATCAGTCCGTCGAGCTGTACAGACTGGTGATTCGCATTTAGAGACGATTCCTCGTGAGTACTAAGTACTCTCGTTCACACACTCACATATTGAATTGGTTTTCCATCTTGGTTATATATATTTATTAGAAATTAGATAAATGAGCGATAGAAATTCTGCAAAAAAGTTCAAATAAACATGATCAGCTTCTAATTTAAAGCGTGTGTAGTAAACGAATATGTTATTGTATCAGTATTTGGAAATGTCTCTGTTATCGGTGTAGTTTCAGTCTCACGCATCCTTTCATTCGTGCTTGGTCTTCCTCTTGGTACGGCGTTACACCAAGCATGACCTGCCTGTTTAGATTTGCTTTTGATATGAATTTCGAAACCGATATGCTTTTTCTGTGTACTTCCAGGTGGAGGTATGTCAGCATCGATTGTAAATCGAACTTTCCATTTGTGTCCTATTCTAAAGATTGATGTTTCTTTGTTAATTGTTCCCTCAAATTCGGCATCAACTTGCACTATTCCTCTTTCGATATCCTGGTAAAAGTTGCAGAAAGGAGTATACGTTTGTAATTTATTGATGATGAATTTCTGTGCTGCATTTGTAATTATACCATCGCCGTAATTTTCGAGATATTGTATCATTACCTTGATGACATTTTGATTTGCTGATCTAAGATCTGGAGCGTCCCAATCATAAACGATACGTGACATTTCACCACAATCTAAAAAGACAACAGTACTAGGATATAGAAAAAGGGTGCTGGTGAAGTTCATGTAGAATTTAAATGTGGCAAACAATGTAGCTATTCTTTCTGATTCCGACGTGATTTTTTTCTCTATATTTGGACCACATTTTGCAATCGTTTAACTTAATCTTACACTACAAGGTAATGAGACTTTCTAATGACATACAGTCACTGTTCGTATATTTACAATGTCCATGTTACTCTAAAAAAGACGAATGACAGCGGTAAAATGTGTGTCGTATCTATGAAAAAGGAGTAAGTAGAACTTCAACTATAAATGCTTTCGTATTCTAATTAGATCGAATTTCACTAAATTCATGAAGAGTTTATGTTCACAACCAATGTTTCGATAGTTTTAACTATCTTCTTGACAGGCGATTTTACGGAAATTGTAGAGATTTTCAAAATGCATATTTTGGCATATTTTTCGGTTTCACCTTACTAAAAGGAATAAAACGATGAAAAAATGGCAAAACGTGGCTATTGATTATGCTCCATCCATTAAAATCACACTCATTTAATAATAATAAATAGTTCATGACCAACATATGATATGAACTTTGTTTTAATAAACGAGAAATAACGAGGCAAGACAAATAACAAAGAGTATCTACGTCAGGGAAAACATCACAACGAAAAGCAAGAAAATAAAATCTATTTATGGCAAATGACAAACAAATACACATATTGAGGGATTAAACCAATGAAAACGATAAGCAAAGGTGTCACCACGAATTGTGATTTCGTTTGAATGGGAATGATTTAAACCAATAAAAATTAAAAAACATAGAGAACATCTTTATGAAGAAAATATTTTTGGACATGCCTATTATTAGTAACGGGCATCCTCATTTATTTGATAGTTAGAACTGCCAATTGTATCACAAAAGCTGTTAGCGCAATCCCTGTGGGATTAAAATGTGAAACACGACGGAGCTCCTTTGCTGAAACCTGTCTACCACGGCCTGTGAGTCTTTGTAGCTTTTCTGCCACTGACTGTAATAATATATGCAACCTTTCAGTCACAGTCTGTACTTTGATCTATGGAGTCGGTAGAGACCATCACAAACCGTGACAAAGAAATCAATTAATTAGTTAACCAATTAGCTAATTAATTCATTTTTCTGTCACGGTCTTGGGAGGGGGGCGGGGATAGGTCCAAATTTCTACCCTATATACCAGCGGTGTAACCAAGCTTTTTAGACCAATAGGTAAACCTCTCTTGTGTCAGAAAAACCGATGGTCAAAATAGGCAAGATTCTTATTGATGGGCCAAATGTTTTTTAGTTCAAAAAAGTACTCTTAACGTAAAAAAACACAAATATAAAATGAGGACGTTGCAATAAATTGCATAGCATTCTTCGACATGAGAGTTCGGCAACGCGTATTTAGTCTACCGATACATTGTCAACAAGAAAATTTGTCAAATTTATTTCGTCGACCTCTTCTTGCAGAAAGTTCGTTTGTCGACATGTTTTGTAGACAAATAAATTAGTCAACGACGTATTGTTTCTGCAGTATCCGTTGGCCGACACGTTCGATCTGAGTAGTTCGAATTTGGCACACTTCAACGTGGATTTGGATGAAATATATATCCAAACTCGTATCAAAAACATCTCTCTTTTGGTTGCGAAGCCGAAGTGAATTGAATTAAAAAGTTAACCCCTCAATCCTTCTCCGTGCTAACTTTTTCTCTTACCCCTGACTGTGTATATTTCGATAAGTATCCCATGTAATAAAAACTGCATGAAAATCGACGGTTAACCGCGGTTTTATCGGTCCGGTTACCGACTCCCATTACCGCCCATGTGTTTCATTACGATGAAACTGCGATGGCACTGTGACCCGTAATTGCGGAAAATTGCGACGTAGTTACGCGCAACTACGATGAAAAAATCGCAGTTACGCGTAGTTACGGGGGGAAAATCATAGTTACGCATAACTGCGCCCAAGTTTTCCGCAATTATAGTTTACAGTGGCGTCGCAATTGGTACAAAAGATAACATCGATTAGGGTTTCCTTTTATTTGTATTTTTATTGAGTTTAAAAAAATTTTTTGCCCAAAAAATGAAAAACAACTATAAAATTAAAACTTTTATAAAAAATAAAAAACAATTTTTAAACTAAAAGTTTTCACAATAAAAATAATTGAAAAATTGAAATCTAGAAAAATCTAAAAATTTACTAAAATAAAAATTCTAAAAAGAATTTTAGTTTAGAACGTAAGGAAAATTAAAAATTAATATCTAGAAAAATTTTTAAAATTAGGATCTAAAAGAATTTTTAAAAATTGAATGTATAAAAGAAAAAAAAAATTTGAAATAATTTAATGATAAAAGAAAAAAAATTTAATTACAAAAAATTGAAAAACTAAAAGAATTTTAATCTATAAATTTTTAAAAGAAATAAAAACTATGCATTTCACTGCTTGTAGTAGAATGACTTATGAACGAAAATGTGATAAACACCACTATTTATACTAATTTTCTGTGACTAAGTTTTATTGTTCGAGTGTAGCCAATTACAAATAAGGAGGAATAATTTGTAATTGGCCATTTATACCTACAACAGATCGTAGGATGCGATCACTAGGACGCAGTTACGTTGATCTGAGTCATACTAAGCGTAGTTTCTTGTAGAAATCTTCACTACGATCAATGCGCCATAGTTACGCGTAACTGCGACGCAGAATTGGCTCTACGCGTAACTGCGGCACAGTTGATAAAAAAAGAGGCGACATGGGGCAGGAAGGATAAATACCGCGATTTACCGGGAAAATGATCCGGTATTTGCAACATGGGATACTACTTATTTTTTCTACTTTCTCTTTTGTCTTGTTGCTTATGTAGGCACACAATAAATCCAAACCCTTGAGATTTAGTATCACTCAATTTCGTTTGTTGACGGCTTAGGATGAGGATTCCACAAAAAATAAAATTTATCCTGTTTTACTTTGAGATCTCCCAAGTTATCACTTTAGTTCCTTTAATGAAACGGTTAAATTGGCAAAAAGGACTAATGGAGTTAACAGAAATAAAGTTATCGGAATGGACTATGTATACTAAATATTATCGGACATAAGCCAAATATGCAAGCATCAAAAGCACAACGGGATAAAATTATTTTTTCGTGGACCTATGCACAATTCTGAAAAAGTAAAATTTCAATGGGCAAGCCTCAAAATGAAATGGGCAATTGCCCATTTGTCATTCCCCTGATTACGCCGCTGCTGTATACTTCAACACTCCTTTCAGATCGTGTTTCACAAAATGATATGCCTCTACGTCTAGTCTATATTATCGGACCTACTGCTGTTTCTAGATAACTAATTTTTTGTTGTTGTATTAGTTCTATTTTGACTTATTATTAAAAATGCACAGGATCACACATCACTGAAAACTGAATTAATAGTTACTCTTCGGTTTTGTCATTCTTATTATTTATTCATTTCGTTTAAAATAACGATATGAATAACAATTGACATAGAACATGTTTTACAAAATGAGAAAAAAGTTGATGAATTGTATCAACGTTTACATCCATAAGGAACAAAGAAATAATATCAAACAATGACACATTATGTGACAGACTTTGATCTTGAAATTAGTAGCTCGAAAATTATATTAAAAGTTAAACAGAAATTATAACAATTATATTTTAGTCTTCAATTGTAAATGGGATAAACAAGGGCAGCATTATCACTTTACAATGTAACAAATTATGTTATTGTGTTACACATTTCTTACATATCGATATAAATACATAAACATCTTAATCAGTATTTTTGTTTTTAAGAATTTTGCAGGCAGTCTTTTCAGTGAATAACTATTATCTTAAGATAACAAGTACATATGAAAATTTTCCCATTTTAGCCTGTAGCACACGAATCATTCGAACAGTTTCATAATGTATGGCTTGTATCTGCAACTTTCGTTGGCACACTGAATAAGACTAGATTGAATGAAATCGAAAAATAGACAACTATTGGTCATCCATCAACAGTCGTTTCGAATGATCTTTTATGCTTTAAACATGGCTCTCATCAGAGTTAAACATCTTTCTAAGTGGTATCTCATCAACTGGAATGGTATGTACCTGCTGGTGAAAAATGGAATGGGTGCATAATGGCTGCATATGCAAAGTAAAAAGTTGAATAAGGTGATATATATCTCACGATTTTTACTCAATTGTTTTAGCCTGCATAGTTTCAGCTCAAATCTATCGTTGAATATAGACGACAAAAATAAGAAAGCATAGGTAAAGTAAAAAAAAGGAAGTTCAATAATTATAATATTTTGATTTTATTTCAAAAAAAATCAAACAGAAACGAACAAACTGGCATAGCAACACTTTTCTATATTGCCATCACCACCATCGCCCCACATTCACTCCTATTTTAAATAAAATTTTTATTATTTTTACATCTTATTGTCCTAACTTATTGAAGTGCAGCATATTTCTCGCACAGAAGCTTTTAATGTTTCAAAGTACTAATAAATAAAATTTACAGTCGTCAACTTATGAGTTGAGAAGGGTTCAGTAGCAACAGTGACATAGATTAAAAGAGAATTATGTATTGATTGTATTATTAGAAAAAAATCATTTGTTTTAAAGCGACTATAATTACAAGTTTACAATAGCATCTATAACATGAGGGATACCGTCGATTTTTCGATGAAAAAATATTCTTCGACAGTATTATTGAAAGATTCCTACCGGTAATTTCAGTTTCAAGCATAAGAACGAAGCCACCTTCTTTTTGAGTTCTTGTTAGAAACTAAACGAAATCATTTGAACAGAAGGAACACCTAGTTTCAAAGTCCTATCCTTCATGCAGTAATTCTGTTTTTGGAATAAATTATATCAGTACCAACACTCTCATGATCAGATTATATGTAGGTAGCTTATTTGTTTTTCTTATTGTTGATACCCTTTTTTTATGAGTATGGTGCAAAAGAGACGATACTGTGAAGCACACTGCACTGAAACGATATCTGCACACATAGAGCCAAACAAGCAGTACGATGCTTTTCTTTAAATTCAATCCTATTATTTTCAGATGATATCATATGATTTCTTGGAGTATGTCGACAGAGACAAAATCAATTCAATGTTAATATGCAAACTCTGCGAGAATCTGTTTTGGCATCCGACGGTAACCCCCTGTGGTCCACCTTCTGCCGTCTACGTATTGATCAGCATCTCAACACATATTTATCTTATCCATTCCAACTTTGTAATCGACCATTACATACTGATAACTTGATAATATATTCTCGAGGCCTTACAGACAAAATTTTTGATATGTTGTTGGTTAAATGCAAACTATTGTACTAAAACAAATTTATACAGGCAAAGGCTTCGATACGCATATCAAAGAAGTTTGCCCTAAGGTTCAAATATATTGCACTATGAAAGAAACTGGATGTTCGTGGTCTGGAACTAGAAGTGAATGTAGCTGCCATATACAAACTGGTATCTTCGAAAAATTAAAACCGACACTTGATAATTTACATGAATCGATCCGAAACCTAAATTCGTACATAGAACAACTTAAACCCCAAACTGAACAACAAAAGATCCAATTAGAAAATCCGATGGTTGACCTTCTGAAGCAGATAGAAAATAAACAAAATGAACAGCATCAGCAAATTATAGAAGGGAAATTTGAAGTAGAAATGGGAATGAAAGAGCAAGAGGATTCAGTTCGAACAACAAAAAGTTCAATTAGAAAATGAGAGGAGTCAAATGGAACAGAAATTCCGACAACTTAAGATTGAACTAGGACAGCATAACGCTCAAATTGAACAGAAAAAGACAAAACTCGAGCAAAAAATGGTCAAGTTCGACAACTAAAGACGGAACTAGGACAACAGAAGGCTAAAATTGAAAATGCAAGACTGAGCTCGAAAATATTCAACCTGAAATTCAAAATCAAAAGAGAGAAATAATGTCGGCTCGTAACCAAATTTCACCATCGGAAGAAACCATCAATAGTTTGAGAAGCAGAATACAATGTCAATGTAAGTGGATTATCGTTAAAATAAGAGGCGGTATTATATGCGACTTAACAAATTCAGGTTATGCGTTTTATGAGAACCACATCCTCTGCCATACTCTATTACCCATGGTACCAAAATAACAGTCAATGAATAATTCATTAGCGGTGCAACACGTCAAATTATTTTAAAAAAAGCTTGCAATTGAAACCATATGAAATGAAACGCAGATCAATTTTTGAGCTTCATTTGAGAAGGCGATTTTTCTCGTTCGAAAGCGCTTTACGCAGAATGTTCAAGTGCTCTAATGCAAAATTTTCTTAATCTGGCAACAGACCGACGATTTTACGTTGCTGTCTGATTTTTGTGGTTCAAAAAAGTCAAGATCTCTTTTAAAAATTGAATAGCTTTCATTGGACCTTATATCAAAGTGGTTTGCATTTTTCTCTCTTTCTTGCGAGTAATGTATACTTTAGGTATCATTACGTACCTTTATTGTTTTATGTTGTGAGCTATGTGCACTTGAAAGTCACTTTATCAGTGTCTCAAAGCGACCAGGAGAAAATCGTGACCAAGATCTTGTACATTTCTGTTTAATATAGAATTCCAACTACATGGAATGGTTATATATTTTAAACGTACATATTAATTTTTTATTGAAATTGCTTAGTGTTTTGCATAGAAAATTCCTCAGAATGTTCTTCAATTCTATTCATACTTTCATATCACCTTTCTAACATTGTTGAAAGCGAAAGGTAGATGACCATGATCTTCTCTTTAATTTTTCTAGTTGTTACTCTCAATATTCCAGTCAATGCAAAATGGACACAGAATGGAATGACTGTTGCTGATGGTCACAGATCAGATAGTGTATTCAATTAACTCGACCGTCCTCGTGATCTTTTTGTTGGTGATGACCAAATAGTAGTTGTTGCTGATATGTACAATCATCGCATTATCCAATGGAAGATTGATGATACGAACGGACAAGTTATTGCTGGTGGCAATGGTCAAGGAAATCGATTAGATCAGTTGGACCGGCCAACTGACGTGTTACTCGATAAATACACAGATAGTCTCATTATTTGTG